TGGTGAAACTTTTGAGTTATTGAAAGAAAGCACCTCATTTTGTGAAATTATTGGTTCTTATTTGCCATACCAAAATGACAACAACAAAAATTTGATCCTCTGTGGCAAGTTGACTGATACTCCTAGCTTATGGAAATTGGAAATTGGTATCCTCTAATAATTTCTTCAAAAATTCGAACTTGCTATATGAGCAAGCCATGAGACATGTTATTACAAGTAAGTTTTTGATTGTTGTAACTGTCAATCCGGAGAGCCATTCAATAAAAGCGATGATTTCTTTTGATGGTTTAAACTTTGCAGATGCCGGCCTTCCTCCTGACATTAAAGTAGGGAAGTTTCCCGATGTCCTCACTGTGTTGGATTCCAAGTTGGATGCCATATTTATTCATGTGTCATACATCGATCTTCCTACAAATCCTCTCTTGAAGTCCGGTTTAAATGGAACTAACTTCGTTACTTCGCTTGAGAATGTTGCCAATTACGGTGGCCAGGGTTTCTTCCACAGAATGGAAGGATTAGACGGTGTCATCATCTGTCAAGCGGGTGATGGGAAGACGCGTATCACTCACAACGATGGAGGCGAATGGAATTTTTTGAATCCCCCAACTGTTGACTCGGATGGTGAAAAGTATGAGTGTTCTAGCCAGGGGTTATCTAAATGCTCTTTGAACCTAGCTATTCAACTGGAACTGCGTAGCTCTGATTCGGTCTCGTCTTTGCCCGATACCTATATTAGTATGGGGACGGTTGGAGAGGATTTCCGTAGCACTCACGATACATTTATTTCTAAAAACGGTGGTTCCACTTGGGAAGAAGTGATGAAAGGTGAGACTAAGTGGGCATACGGGGATAGTGGCACTATTATCGTGATGGTCAGTGCCCCTGGTGCCACCCATACTATAAGCTATTCTTTGGATCAAGGAAGAACTTGGAATTATTACCAGTTTTGCAATGACAAAGATCTTGAGGGTTTTCGCTACGGAGTTAGAGTTCGTGACTTGAAAACATCCGGCAAATCCAAAAAGTTCTTCATTCATGCAGAGATGAGGCCCCTTCTGGGTCCTATAGTTACATACGTGTTCTCGATCGATTTCAGTGATATTTATAAGAGGCAATGTGAATTGGACCTTGACAATTCTGACTCGAGTGATTTCGAATATTGGGCCCCCGCCAATCCTCATCTGCAAGAAAATTGCATCCTAGGACGTGAAACCAGATACTTGAGTCGAAAAAGTGTCGATTGTTACATTGGAAGTGCACCATTGGCTGAATTCTCCAAAGTGATCCGAAATTGTACCTGTTCAAGAAGCGATTTCGAGTGCGACTTCAATTATTTCAAAGACAATGATGGGACTTGCAAATTGGTAGAGGGACTGTCACCTATAAATCGTCTTGATGATTATTGTAATAAGAAGAATG